AGTGGTAGTCTTCGTCGTCATCATTGTTGTCATAGTAATCGTAGTAGAAATGAAACTGGTCAACAGATGCATGGTCAATGAGCCAGGTGAGAGTGTCTGACAACATAGCAAAGTAAGGTCCAAGACAAAGTGTAAACTCTCCTGCCAGGTGTCCTTGGATGTAATCTCTTTCCTCTTCAGTCTCTTTCCCACACCACCATCAAAGTGAAGATGCTGAAGTCTGATCATGGCACTCCTCTCTTCCACAACCCCACTGTCTCCTTTTGCCTTTAGATTCAAACAGGCCTTTTGTCTTGCCTTGAAGCCTGCATCAATATGGCTCTGACCTTCCTTTCTTGGCTTAGTCTCCAGTGCTGTCCTGCATTCTCTCTCTAATGCAGCCAAACTGGCCTTCCTAGTGTTTCCTTACACACAGCTTTCCATCTCTGGGCCTTTTCACAGGCTGTGCCCCCTTCCTGGTGTTCTTTCCTCCTCATTGCTATCTACTTAGATGTCTAGTTTCCTTCAGACTTCAGCACCAAGACCATCTCCTCCATGAGGCGTGTCTCGATCCCTGAGGTCTCTGCTACTGGTGTTTCCCCTCTACATACAATCCTCTGTATTTCTTTCACATATGCTTGTCTGTGCACATGGTTTCTTCTTCTAACAGAACACAAGCTCCTTTTCATTTTATTGTCTCGGTAGTTCCTGTATATAGCACAGTGGCTGTCAGGCAGTAGGCATTTAAGACATTTCCTTTGATTGATTGATTGAAAACTACTAGCCAGGACCTCTCCTAGGAGGGTGAGTTATATCAGTGAAGGTTCTCCATGGGGTATCACTTTTTAAGTGGTGACCCAGATCGGTTAAACGGTCCAAGCATTTGGGAAAGGCCCAGATCCATTAGGGCATATAGATAGTAGAAAAGGCTCTCTTGTGACCACTATGACAAAAACAAAGGGCTGGATTCTTAGAATCCAGGCCTTTTGTTAATTAAATAACCTTTGTTTAGCACCTTCTGTGTAGACAGTACCTTAGTTGGAACTATAGGCGTCTGATAAAATCATATCATTAATTTTTTTCAGGTAGGTTCAATTCTAGAATATCAAAGCTACTACAAAGGTACTTTCATGTTTTATGGGAATAAGCAGAAAATTATCTGTGCATCCTGTTTGGACCCGAAGATTTGGATTTTTTTTTCTTCTCTGAAGTTAGAATCACTGAAGTAAAGCACATTATTGCTTGAGATGCCTTGGCTTATTCTCTGTCCTGTGCTACCAGAATTCAGGCAGCACATGTAGATGGTACAGTGGATAGAGCTCTGGATCTGGAGTCAGAAACACTTGATTTCAAATTCTTCCTGAGACCCTTAGTGGGTGTGTGACCCTGGGCACGCCAGTTAACCACTGTAAGCCTCAGTTTTGTCATCTGTAAAATGGAGGAAATAATAGCACTTATTTCTCAGGATTGTTGTGAGGGTAAAATGAGACAATAATTATCAAGTGCTTTATAAACCTTAAACACATGTTAGCCAACATCATCATCATTATCATTATCAAAAAGTCTTTGTTTTTGTAACTACAACAGACATCTAAATCCTTGTAAAGGCCACATGTTTGATATTCAGCAAAACTTTTGACAAAGTCTGTCACAGTTTTCTTGTGAACAGATGAAAGAAATGTGGGGTAAGTGGATTTATTGAATGACCTGACCCAAGAAGTCAATGTCAACTTCAAAGGAAGTCTTGTGGAGGAGTGCCCCAGGGATCTCTCCTTGGTCCTGTGCTAGTTACCATTTTTATCAATGACTTAGCTAAAGTCCTAGAAGAGACTGTCATGAAATTTCCGATGACGCGAAGTTGAGATGGAGAACTCACATGCTAGATGACACAGTCAGGTTTCACAATCTAGTTGGCAGGCTTGAACGATAGTTTGAATTGAATAAGATGACACTTAACATGGACTGATATCAAACTCTTTCCTTGGGTTAAAAATATAAGCCTTCTAAGTACACAGTAGTGGAGTGATTATACAGAGGTTCATTTGAATAAATATCTTTGGTCTTCCATGGACTCGAAGCTCTACTTGATGAATGAAGGAAGCACTTATGAAATGCTTATCCTGTGTAATGTATGGGAAAAACAAATGAAAAAGTGATTCAGTCCCTTCTTCTAAGAAGCTCACATTCTAATGAGAATGAAAACACACATGGAAGGTTTCATCTGGGTGTCAGTTGGAAAGGTTCCATGGTTCTCAGGATGCAATAGGAAAGCAAATGGTAATGCCTCTTCTGTTTATGATTTATTTACTTTGTTACATTTTGAATGCTGAGCTGTCTCCCTCCTTCCCTCCCATCCCCACATTAGAGAAGGCCAACCTTTTAGGTGTGTGTGTGTATGTGTATATATGTATACACACACATGTCTATGTCTTTACATGTGTGTGCATATACATATATGTATACACATATACAATACACATTATATACACATATCACAGTTATTTCTCTGGAACTGGATAGCATTTTGCTTCATAGGTACTTTGTAGTTGATTCAAATGATCACATCACTCAAAATAGCTTAGTCATTCATGGTTAGTCTTTGAACAATATTGCTGTTACTGTATACAACATTTTCTTGGTTTTGTTCATTTTACTATGCGTTAGTTCATTCAAACCTTCCCATGCTTTTCCAAAACCCACCTGCGTGTTGTTTCTTACAGCACAGTAGTATTCCATCACAATCATATTCAGGTATTCCCTATTTGATGGGCATACACTCCAGTTCCAATTGTTTGCCACCACAAAGACAGCTGTTATCAATATGTTAGAACACGTAAGTTCTTTTCCTTTTTTTCCTGATTACCTTGGGAAAGAGACCTAATAGTGGGATTGTTGGGTCAAAGGGTATACACAATTTTATAACTCTTTGGGCATAATTTCAGATTGCTCTCCAGAATGGTTATAAGTTCACCATTCTACCAGCAGTGTATTAGTGTTCCAATTTTTCCACATCCCCTCCAACACTTGTCATTTCTTCCTATTATTTTAGCCAATCTGACAGGTGTTAGATGGTACCTCATAGTTGTTTTGATTTGCATTTTTTTTAGTCAATAGTGACTTAGAGCCTTTTCCCGCATGATTATATATAACTGATTTCTTCTCCCTAAAACTGCCTGTTCATGTCCTTAGACCATTCATCAATTGGGAAATGACTCATATTCTTATAAATTTGGCTTATTTTTCTATATATTTGAGATATGAGGCCTTAATCTGTGAAACCAGATATTAAATTTTTTTTTCATATTTTTCTACTTTCCTTCTAATCTTGGCTACATTGGTTTTATTTGTACAAAACCTTTTTAATTTAATGTAATCAAAATGATCCATTTTACATCCCACAGCACTCTCTGTCTCTTGTTTATTCATATATTGTTTTCCTCTCTGTAAGTCTGATAGTCAGTATGTTCCATACTCCTCTAACTTATGATATTTCCCTTTAGACCTAGGTTGTGTATCCATTTTGACCTTTTCTTGGTAAATGGTATGAGATATTGGTCTATACTTAGTTTCTGTCATATTGCTTTCTAGTTTTCCAATCTTTCTTTCTTTCTTTTTTTTTTTTACCAAATAGTGAATTCTTATTCCCAAAGCTTAGATCTTTGTGTGTATCAAACATGTACTTACTACAATCATTTACTATTTTATATTGTATGCCTACTCCATTCCACTGATCCATCCTTCTATTTCTTAGACAATACCAAAAAGTGTTGATCATTATCTCTTCATGTTACAGCTTAAGATTGGTACTGCTAGAACCCCTTCCTTTAAATTTTTAAATTTATTCTTTTGATATCTTGACTTTTTGCTTTTCCAAATGAATTTTTTATTATTCTTTTCTAGCTGAATAGAACAATTTTTTTGGCAGCTTTATTGAGATGGCAGTGAATGAATAGGTTCATTTTGGCACAATTGTCATTCTGATTATATTGGCTTGGCCCACCCATGAACAATTAAAATTTCTCCTATCATTTAAATCTGACTTTATTTGTATAATTATGTTCATACAGTTTTGGGTTTGTCTTTGCAGATATACTCCAGTTATTTTACATTGCCAATGGTTATTTTAAATGAAATATTTATTACTATCTCTTCTTGCAAGGTTTTGTTGATGCTATGTAGAAATACTGGTGATTTATGTAGGTTTATTTTATGTCCTGCTACTTTGCTATAATTGTTTCAACTAATTTTTTAGTTGAATCTCTCAGATTTTCCAAGTATACCATCATGTCATCTGCTGATAATTTTGTTTCCTCATTGTACATTTTGATTCCTTTGATATCTTTTTCTTCTCTTATTGTGACTGCTAGCATTTCTAGTACAATATTGAATCATAGTGGAGACAGTGGACATCCTTATTTCAATCTCAATTTTACTGAGAAGGCTTCTAGCTTATCCCCATTACAGATAATGTTTTCTGATAGTGTTAGGTAGATCTTTCTTATCATTAAAAAAAATCAACTTAAACCTTTGCTTTCAAGTACTTTTTTTTAAAAATAAGAATGAGTGTTGTTTTGTCAAAAGCTTTTTTTGGTATCATTTAATTTAGCTATATGACTTTTGTTGGTTTTGTTACTAATATAATCAATTATGCTCATAGCTTCCTTCATATTGAACCAGCCCTGTATTCCTTATATAAATCCCATTTGGTCACACTGTATAATATTTGTGATATATTGCTGTAGTCAACTAGCTAGCATTTTATTTAGAATTTTTTTGCATCAATATTCATGAGTCAAATTGATGTATAATTTTCTTTCTCTGTTTTTGTTCTTCCTGGTTTTCAGCATTATATCTGTTTCATAAGAGGAGTTTGGTAGGACTGCAATAATAGTAATAAGCAAAATAAGTGACATTTATATCACACTTCAACATTTTCAAAGTGCTATGCCTAAATCATGCTACTTGATATAATAATCACTTAAGGTAAGTGCTTTAGGTCTTGTTATTTCTGTTTTACAGAGAAGGAAACTAAGTCTCAGAGAAGTTAAATGCCTGATCCACAGAGGATTCAGCCAGCATGAGGTACAGGTGAGATTCAAACCCCGGACTACTTGACTGTAAGTCTGGTGCTCTTTCCTTTTTTTTTCCTTTTTTTTGGCAATTGGGGTTAAGTGACTTGCCCAGGGTCACACAGCTAGTAAGTGCCAAGCATTTGGTCTGAAGCTGGATTTGAACCCAGGTCCTCCTGACTTCAGGACCGGTTCTTTATCCACTGTACCACTTAGCTACCCCAAATCCAGTGCTCTTTTCACTACACCAGGAAAGTGAGAAGCCTTCCAAAAGTGGGCAACAATGATGGTGAGGAAATTGACTGAAGTAACTGGAAAAGAGACTTATGAGACTAGTGGTATCAACTATGAGTCTTTGAGGGATTTTCATGCTAATGTAGGATTCATCTTATGTTTGGTATCAATGGCCTGAAATAGGAAGACTGGATGAAAATTCAAAATCATAGGTTTAGGCTCACAGAAAGGACAAATTTCTTCAAAATTGGAGCTGACTGGAAATGGAATGGATTGATTTGGAAGATGGTGGTTCCATTCTCATCAGAGGACTTAAACAGGGCATGGACGACCACTTATCCATGTTGTCATGGATGATATTCTTCTGGACAGCTTCTGGACTCAGATTCTGGAACTCTGATTAGGTCTCCCAGAGTGAACCTGAACTCCTTGCAGAGGGCAAGTCTGTTAGAGTTAGCAATTGGCTTACAAATGAATGGTATTTTCCTCAGGGGTATAAGAGAATGTGTGGAAAGGATCCCTTTTTTCTTTTTGAGAGAGAGAAGTTTACCAGAAACATAAATTTGTTTAAGTAGAATAATTTGACTGATGCTGCTGATTGAATTGGCCACTCAAGTTTATTTTATGTTTCTTCTTATCATCCTTCTCCCTGTCCTCCTTCCTTCTCTCTTTTTTAAAGCTTTTATTGAATTTAGTATTTTATTTTTCCCCAGTTAAATGTAAAAACATTTTAAATATCCATTTTTAAAAGTGAGCTGCAAATTCTCTCCCTTTCTCCCCCTCCCCCATTGATTGGGCAAACAGTTCCAGATAGGTTATTCATTTGTAGTCATACAAAACATTCATGATAGTCATGTTGTGAAAGAATACAGAGACAAGAAAAAAAAACTCAAGAAAAATAAAGAAAATTTTTAAAAAGGTATGCTTCGATCTGTAATCAGGCCCCAATAGTTTTTTCTCTGGGGATGGATAGCAGTTTTCATTATAAGTGCTCCAGAGCTGTCTTAGATCATTGTATTGCTGAGAAGAGCTAAGTCATTCATGGCTGATCATCTTACTATATTGCTATCATTTTGTGCACAGAACATTGCACTTAGCATCCACTCATGCAAGTCTTTTCAGCTTTTCCTGAGAGCATCCTGCTCACCGTTTCTTATAGTACAATAGTATTCTATCACAATCACATACCACAATTTGTTCAGCTATTTCCCAATTGATGGGCATTCACTCAACTTATAATTCTCTACCCCTACAAAAGAGCTTCTATAACTATTTTTGCACATATAGGTCCTTTCCCCTTTTGTTTTTTATCTTTTTTTGGGATATAGACCCAGTAGTGGTATTGCTAGGTCAAAGGGTGTGCATGGTTTTATAGCCCTTTGGGCAGACTTCCAAATTGCTCTATAGAATGGTTGAATCAATTCACAAGTTCCCCCACAGTGCATTAAAGTCCCATTTTCCCCATGTTCCCTCCAACATTTGTCACTTACCTTTTCTGTCCTATTAGCCAATCTAATAGGTATGAAGTAGTACCTCAGAATTGTTTTAATTTGCATTTCTCCAATCAATAGTGAGTGTTCTTTCATATGGCTATAGATGGCTTTGGTTACTTCATCTGAAAACTGTTCATATCTTTTGAAAATTTATCAGTTAGGGAATGGCTCTTATTTTTATACATTTGACTCAGTTCTCTATATGTTTGAGAAATGAGACCTTTATTAGAGAAATGCTTCAAAACTTTTTTCACAGTTAATATTGCTAACTGTATTTCCGCCTATTTCCCCCTGTTTATTCTATTCTCTCTCTACTTTCACTCTGCCCCTCCCCAAAAGTGTTTTTACTACACTTCCCCAATTTACCCTTCCTTCTATCACCCTCCTTCCCCACTCGTCTTATCCCCTTCCCCTCCTACTTTCCTGCATGGTAAGTAAGGTAGATTTCTATACCCAATAGAGAGTGTATTTATTCTCTCCTTGGGCCAATTCTGATAAGAATAAGGTTCCCTCCTTCTCCCTCACCTTCCCCTTCTTCTCCTCTATTGCAAAAGCTTTTTCTTTGCTCTTTCATGTGAGATATTTTACTCCATTTTCCTTTCTGTTTTTCTTCTTAATTTTTTTTAGATATCATTCCTTCACATTCAAGTCACATTTGTGCCCTCTATCTATACATGCTCCTTCTAACTACCCTAATAATGAAAAAGGTCTTATGAGTTACATCTACCACCTTCCTATGTAGGAATGTAAACAATTTAAACTTATTAAGTCCCTTATGATTTCCCTTTCCTGTTTACCTTTTTGTGCTTCTTTTGAGTCTTGTATTTGAAAGTCAATTTTTCTATTCAGCTCTGGTCTTTTCATCAAGAATGTTTGAATGTCTTCTATCTCATTGAATAGCCATTTTTTCCCCTGAAGGATTATCCTCAGTTTTGCTGGGTAAGTGATTCTTGGTTGTAATTCTAGCTCCTTTGCCCTCTGGAATATCATGTTCCGAGCCTAAGATCTTTTCATGTAGAAGCTGCTAAATCTTGTGTTATCCTGACTGTGGCTTCACAATACTTGTATTGTTTCTTTCTGGCTTCTTGCAATATTTTCCCCTTGAAGTGGAAAGTCAAGAATTTGGCTATAGTATTACTGGCAGTTTTCATTCTGGGATCTCTTTCAGGAGCTGATTGGTGGATTCTTCCAATTTCTATTTTACCTTCTGGTTCTAGAATATCAAGGCAGTTTTCCTTGATAATTTCTTGAAATGTCAAGGCTCTTTTTCATCATGGCTTTCAGGTAGTCCAGTAATTTCAAAATTTGTCTCTTGAATTTATTTTCCAGATCAGTTGTTTTTCCAATGATATTTTTTACATGGTCTTCTATTTTTTCATTCTTTTGGTTTTGTTTTATTGTTTCTTGATTTCTCATGACATCATTGGCTTCCATTTGTTCCATTCTAATTTTCTTTTTTTTTGTTAATTTATTTTGATTTATCAACAATCATTTCCATATGCTTTGAGTTTAAAATTTTTCTCCCCCTTCCTCACCCTCCCCTCCCCAAGATGGTACACAATCTGATATAGGTTATACATTTACATTCCTATTAAGCAGATTTTCACATTAGTGAAGTTGTAAGTAAAAATAGGACCAATAGGAGGAACCATCAGAAAGAGGAAACAAAACTCAACCAAACAGAAAAAAAGATAGCGATTCAATTTTGACAGGTATGATTACTGTGTATTTTCCTCCATCCTTTCCCCCCCGTTTATGCTTTTCTTTCTCCTTTCCCCCTTCCCCCCTCTCTAGTGTTTTGCTTTTGAGCACCACCTCCTTCGGTCTCTTCTCCCTCCTATTATCCCTTTCCCTTTTCTTCCCCTTTGCCCTTACTGCTTCTTCCCTCCTTTCTATCCCCCATCCCTTTTCTTTCCCCTTTTCCCTCCTACTGCCTATAGGGCAAGTTAGATTTCTATACCTAACTGATTATGTTATTCCCTTCTTGAGCCAAATCTGATGAGAGTAAGGTTCAAACAATGCTCACCCCCTCCCTTCTTTCCCTCTGCTGTAATGGGATTTTCTGTCTTTACCTGTAATGTAATTTACCCTTGTCTGCCCCCTCCTTTCTCAGTACATTTTCTAAGATCAGACTAATCCACTTACTTGGATCCCTTTAACCCACTTGATTAGATTTTTTTTATCATTACATCAAAGTCAACTAATATCCCCTTTATGTATACTCCTTTAACATGGTGTAATAACAATACAGTTCTCAAGAGTTGCAAGTGTCATCTTCCCTTGTAGGGATGTAAACAGTCCACCCTTATTAACAACATTTTGTATCTTTCTGTCCCATTTCTTTTTATCTTTCTTGAATCTTGTACTTGAAGATCAAATTTTTTGTTGAGCTCTGGTCTTTTTATGAAGAAGTTTGGAAGTCCCCTATTTTGTTGAATATCCATCTCTTCCTTGAAAATCATGCTCATTTTTGCAGGGTAGTTGATCCTTGGCTGCAATCCAAGCTCCTTTGCCTTATGAATATCATGTTCCATGCCCTGCGGTCTTTTAATGTAGAAGCTGCAAGGTCCTGTGTAATCCTGACTGTGGTTCCATGATATTTAAATTGTTTCTTTCTGGCTGCTTGCAGCACCTTCTCTTTCTGGTAATTTTGGAATTTTGCTATTATATTCCTTGCGTTGCAATTTGGGATCTCTTTGAGGTGGTGACGGGTGTATTCTTTCTATGGTTATTTTACCTTCTGGTTCTAGGAGTTCCAGGCAGTTTTCCTTTATGATTTCCTGAAAGATACTGTCCAGGCTATTTTTTTCATCATGATTTTAAGGTAGTCCAATGACGTTTAAATTGTCTCTCTTGGATCAATTTTCCAGGTCAGTTGTTTTACCGATGAGGTATTTTATGCTTTCATCCATTTTTTCATCTTTTTGTTTCTGTTTGACTGATTCTTGTTCTCTCATAGAGTCATTAGTTTCCATTTGTCCAGTTCTAGTTTTGAACAGATTGTTTTATTCTGTTAGTTTTTGTACTTCCTTTTTCTATTGGCCAATTGTATCTTTAAGGGATTTGTTTTCTTCAGTGTACTTTTTCCTCCAGTTTGCCAATTGTGGTTTTTAGGGACTTGTTTTCTTCAGTGTACTTTTTTTCCAATTGGCCAATTGTATTTTTTTAAGGACTCTTCTACCTCTGTCATTAGACTTTTAAAATTCTTGTTGAGTTCTTCTAAGAGGCCTTTTTTGGGCTTCAGACCACTTCATATTCCCTTTTGATGTTGCAGATGTGGGCTTGTTGACAATGTTGTCCTCTTCAGAATTTGTCTTGATCTTCACTCTTCTCATAATATGAATCTATGGTGCATTTCTTTTTACTCACGGTTTCTGTATTCCCTGGCCTTTAAAGAGGTTGAGCTCTTCTGCTGGGGAACAGAGGGCACTGAGCCAAGCTTCTTGTGTTGGGACCCTAGGTCTTGGTCACTAGCTTTGTGTGCTGGGGCCTCTTACATTGGCAATTGGAGGTTGTAGGGTTTTAGCAGCTTACCTGGTGTTGGGCTGGAATCAGCAAGGCTGGAACTTTCAGGCAACTCTAGGTTGCCTCCTTTTCCTTTCCTTTAGCTTTCTTCAGCTCCTTTTAGATGGGTGCTGCAGGGTGTTTATCTGCCTGGGGCCCCTTGCAATGCTGCCTTCCTCTTTTCTGCTAATGCATTGGGAGATTCCTTTGCGACAGAGTGCCAAGGCACCTGGTGGTTTTCTGAGCTTGTTTCCACTGGTTCCCCCACCCTCACTGAGGCACTTGGAGGTCCAGGTGTTGGTCTTTGCCTGCTCTATGACCTGGGCTTCAGGATCTCTTCCTGGTTGACAGTTGGAGGCTGTAGGGTTCTGACAGGTTACCTGGTGTTTGGTTGGAATCAGCAAGGCTGGGACTTTGGGAAGACTCTAGGTTGCTTCCTTCAGCTCCTTTCAGATGAATGCTGCAGGGCGCTTATCCGCCTGGGCCCATTGTAGCGCTGCTTCCCTTATTTTTGCTGAGGCACTGGGAGACCTGTTTGCTGGGCTGCTACACTGCTGTTCCCCACCTCTCTTCTAGTTCAGCTGTTTCAGGTTTTTTTTTTTCTGGGGTGGTATTTTCTGGGTTTTCATAGGTTGCTAGGGGAGGGTGAGAACAACTACCTTTTTGCTCTGCCATCTTGGCTCCCGGAAGTGGAAGAGCTCCGTTCTAATTTTCAAGGAATTATTTTCTTCAGTGAGATTTTGGACCTACTTTTCAATTTGGTCAATTCTGCTTTTTAAGGCATTCTTCTCCTCATTGGCTTTTTGGACCTCTTTTGCCTTTTGGGTTAGGCTGCTTTTTATGGTGTTATTGTGCTCATTTTTTTTTTGTATCTCCTTTAGCAAGCTATTGAGTTGTTTTTCATGATTTTCTTGCATTACTCTCATTTATATTCCCATTTTTTCCTCTACCTCTATTAATTGATTTTAAAAATCCTTTTTGAGTTCTTCCACAGCCTGAGACCAATTCATGTTTTTCTTGGAGTCTTTGGATGTAGGACCTTTGATTTTGTTGCCTTCTTTTGAGTGTGTGTTTTGATCTTCTTTGTCACCATAATAATATTCAATAGTCAGAGTTTTTTTCCATTGTTTGATTATTTCCCAGCTTATTAGTTGATTTTGAGTCATTATTAAAGTTAGGCTCTGCTTCCAGGATAGAGGGCACACTGTCCCATGTTTCAAGGGTTTTGTGCAGCTGTTTTCAGAGATACTTCTAGTGACCTGTTAGTTTTCAGTTCTTCCAAGGTGTTATGATCAAAGATGAGGTGTTTACTCCTTTCTTGGCCTATGCTTTGGTCTATGAGTGATCACAAGCATTCTTTTCTGCCTTGGAAGTTGAGGAGGGTCACCCACTCTGCTGTGGCTTCAAGCTCTGCTATGCTAGTGGTCCTCCTCACCCCAGGACTGCCATCCAGGACCATGACCTAGATGTAAGTATGGGCAAAGCAAGAGAGTTCTGTCTCAGGGCTAGCAAAAAGAGCCCTGTAATCTCCTTTTGACTAGTTATTTGACCGCCTTAGTATTTGTGGGCTGAGAGCTCCAGAAGTAGCTATGGCCACTGCTGATTCAGTCACGCCCATATATTTTGCTGGAGCCCAGACTGAACTGTTGTGGTCTGTGCTAGACTATGCTTTTCTCTCACCCTAATGCAACAGACTTTTCCTGCCTACCTACCAAGTTGACTTGGGATGGAAATGTGTTTCACTTTGTCTTTTTGTGAGTTCTGTTGCTCTAGAATTTATTTAGAGTCCTTCTTAAAAGGCATTGTCAGTGGTTTAGGGGAGAGCTCAGGCAAGTCCCTGCCTTTCCTCCACCATCCTGGTTCTGCCTCCTCCTTCTTCCTTTGCTTTCCCTACATTCTTTTCTTTTCCTTCCCTTCCTCTCTGGCCTATACACATCCACAGTTCCCTGAGAACACGGGCTTAGTGTCTCTCTCTACCTTTGCTGCTCTGCCTCCCGTGAATACCCAGCTTCCTTCAGTCTCATGAGGGGAATCTCAGCATTTGCAAGGTCACCTAAGGTGCCACCTGATCACGTAGCTTCAAACCGTTGATTTGCACCTCAATGTCACTGAGATCATTATTGCTACCAATTATTTCAATTATTTTCTACTATCATTTCTAAGAAAAACAAGTGATGCCAAATTCAAGAATTAAAGATGAATACAGAAAGGGCAATTGCTTTTGAAGGTCAGGACTGAGACTGATGATGCAAAGTTGTTGGACATCTATCTAGCTGTATTCCAGACATTCTAGATACCATTCTCTCTATCTGTTGCATTTTGGCTCATATGGGGACTTCAACCCTTTCCTGTGTAAAGATAGGAATGAATGAAATGGAAGAATTCTAATCTTTTTATTTTAGAAACTTCTCCACCCCCCCCCCCAATTCTCTTAACCATTAGGTAAGTTTAGCAGTGGAAATAAGTTTCCGGGGCTCATTTCTGAACTTAGGTCCCCAGTTCATTCAACTTTCCAAACCTGGCTTCCAGGTTGGTTCAAATTTTGTAACTGTCACAAAGTAAAATGTCAAAATGGGAATCTAAGATAAAGGACATGGTACTGGATAAAAAGTAAACACAGTTTTGATCCTTGTTTAGAATCCGATAAGGTATATTACATAAGTTTAATGAATTTACAAGGTCTTTTTGAGAAAAGAGTTCCAGATGGAAAAGCTGTGTAAGGAATTTAAGCAAACACAGTCTTGGCAAGAATAGCCTGAATTGTGAAATCAGTGGGAGGAAATGAAATGCAAAGTTAATAACCTACAATTATTGGTTAAAAATGTATATTAATGCATTTCTCCCCTTAATATCCTACCTTCTCTTCTCCACCAATTCCCACCAGCAATTGACAAGATGAAGTGGATCACCTTTATTTCTCTTATTTTCCTCTTCAGCTCTGTTCACTCCAGAGAAATCATCCATCGAGATGTATGTAAGAATCTTTTTTATTCATGGTCTCTTTTAATGTAGAAAGAGAGGTTAAATGAAAATTGAATCTTTATTGATTTGTATTGCTATTATCTTTATTTTTCTTTGGAGGTGAAAAATATTCATCAGGATGATTGAATGTTTACAGTGTCAAAGAAGTCATTTGTGTGTCTAATATTGTCAATGAATTAGACAGGATAGTTTCTGTAATCTTCTTTTGCAGATGGAGAAAATGTAGTACCATGACTTCTTAAAGTTGTATAATCCCAAAGACAGAAAAGGAACTTATTCCTCCCACCTCCTCAGCTGGGACTTCATCAGCTCTGCCTCAGCGTACAGAAATCTAGAATATTAGATAAGTTTTATATTTATAATTTGGCTTTATTGAACTTGCGTTTCAGGTAGAGCTCCCATCATTCCTCTGAAGGAGATATAGAAGAACTAATCCTATTTTGGCAACTAGGTGAATAGAGTGCTGGGCCTGGAGTCAGGAAGACCTGAGTTCAAATCTGCCTTCACCCACTTATTAATTTGTGTGACTTTTGGCAGGTTACTTAACCCTGTTTGCCTCTGTTTCCTCATTTGTAAAATGAGCTGGAGAAGGAAATGGAAATCTACTTCAGTATCTACCAAAAAACCAAACAAACCATAGAATAACCCATGAAGGGTCATGAAGAGTCAGACATGACTGAAAATGACCTAATAAACAATAAAAATGAGATGATTCTGGGAATACGGTAGAGTAGATCAGAAAATTCCAAGCTTTCAAGATTTTCCCCCACAGAAAATTGGAGCACTGGTGCATTGTTGGTGGAGTTGTGGGATGATCCAACCATTTTGGAGATCAGTTTGGAGCTATGCCCAAAGGGCTATAGAAATGTGCATGCCCTTTGACCCAGCAATAGCACTTCTAGGGCTGTATCCCAAGGAGATCATACAAATGGGAAAACAACACACATGTACAAAAATATTTGTAGTGGCTCTTTTTGTGGTGGAAAAGAGTTGGAGGTTGAGGGGATGCCCATCATTTGGTGAGCGGCTGAGCAGGTTGTGGTGTATGAATGTAGTAGAATACTGTTGTGCTGTGGGAAGTGTTGGGCAGGCTGACTTCAAGGAAGCCTTGGGGGACTTGTGTGGTCTGGTGCTGAGTGGGGTGAGCAGAGCCAGGAGAGCATTGTACACAATAACAGCCATGTTGTGTGATGACTAATATTGACAAATTTAACCCTTCCCAGCAATACAAGGATCTAAGACATCTCCAAAGGCTTCTTGATGGAAAATGCTATCCACATCCAAAGAAAGAGCTATGGAGTTTGAATGCAGATTGAAGTGTAGTATTTGCCGTTTGTTTTTCTTCTGTTCAGTTTTGTTTCCTCTTTCTGGTGGTTCCTCCTATTGGTCCTAATTCTTACTTACAACATCATTAATGTGAAAATATGCTTAATAGGAATGTATATGTTAGTCTATATCAGATTGTGCACCATCTTGGGGAGAGTGCTGGGGAGGAAGGGGGAGAAAAATTTTAAACTCAAAAGCATATGGAAGTGACTGTTGATAAATCAAAATAAATTAATTAAAAAAAAGATTTTCCCCCACAAAAGAGATGAAATAGCACCTTAGGGCAAACATACCGCAGTAAAAATAATGAAGAGTAAGGGCAGAGCAGGGCTCCTCCTGGGACAATCAGAGAAGATTTGAAGAAAAATCTCAGGATGAGGTTTGGTCTCTGTGAAGAGTAAACAGCTCAAGTGTAGGTCCTAAGCCTTCTTAAACAACAAGAGGCAAGCCCTGGGATTATCTGGGTTGGTAGGCTGCCTTGCCCCCAGGCATAGGAACTTTTATCCTTGGGACAGTGAGAGAAATTGGGCATCTGATCCAGGGAAGATTGAGAGAACCTCTGATGACAAGGAATGCTAGACCCAGCTGCATTGTGGAGACACAGCCGGGGGTGAAAAAGAACCAGCACATGTTTCAATGAGTGCAGAAGCAGTGGTTCAGGGATACCACTGGCTGTGGGCACTTAGAGGAGGCTGGAGGTCTTGGTTTTAGGTTCCAGGCTAGAGGAGTGCTGAAGGAGATTCTGAGGCCAGAGCCACCATCCCCCATACTCCAGGACTAGTGGTGATTGCAAAAACTAAGCTACTACAAACTTTAAAAAATGCACAGGTAAAGGAGAAAGAATCCAACCATAGAAAGTTACTATGGAAATAGAGACGACTGGGGTTCAACTTCAGAGGCAGATACTGAAACAAAGAAACACTCCTCTACCCCAAAGAGTAACGTCCAATGATCACCTTCCCCCAAAAAATCACAGAAGAACTTTAGAAAGACTTTAAAAATCCAATGAGAGTGATTGTAAAAAAAACAAAGAAACAAAAAAGAACAATCCAAGACAAACAAGAAGATTATGAAAAGAAAGTCAACCAATTAGAAAAGGAGATCCAGAATCTTATGGAAGAAAATGGCTCCTTGCAAATTAGAACTAGGCAAGGGGAAGCCAGTGAAGTTATAAGAGATCGAGAAATAATAAAAGAAAATGTAAATAATGAAGCACAGAGAAGAGTATATAAAACATCTCGTAAGAAAAACAACTGATTTGGAGAACAGGTCAAGAAGAGTAAACATAAGAATAATTGGACCACCTGAAAGCTATGATAAAAAAAAAGAATCTTGACACAATAATGCAAGAAAAAACTAAAGAAAACTGTTCTGAACCTTTAGAACAAGAAGGAAAGTAGAAATAGAAAAAAATCCAAGGGGCAGCTAAGTGGCACAGTGGGTTCAGCAACAGCCCTGAAGTCAGGAGAATATGAGTTCAAATCCAGCTTCAGACCAAACACTTGACATGTACTAGCTGTGTGACCTCGGGCAAATCACTTAACCCCAATTGACTTTAAAAAAAAATAGGAACAGAAAAAAATCCACTGATTGCCACCTGAAAGAGATTCCATGAGGAAAACCCACAGCAATGTTATAATCAAATTCTGAAATTCCCAGCTCAAGGATAAAGTATTATGAGCAACAAGGAACCCCCCCCCCACAATTTAAATATGGCGGTGTCACAATTAGAATCACACAAGACATAGCAATGGTGACACTAAAAGACTCCAGGTCTTGGCACACTATATATTGAAGAGCAAAAGAACTGGAGTTCCAGCTCAACATATTATACCCAGAAAAGCTAAGCATAATCCTGAATGAAAAAACGGACATTCAATGAATTGTCAGACTTTCAGGACTTTGTTAAAAAAAACAAACCCTGAACTTAATAGAAGATTTGACATATCAGACCCAAGAGAAATATAAGGTATACACCAAAGGCTAATTACAAGGGACTCAATAAGGACAGACTGTTTACCTTTTATGTATGTAAAATGTATGCTTAAGTTTGTTATTAGTAATTGGGTAGTTCATAAGAAAGATTGGGGTAGACCTGCGTATGACATGACTTCAAAAAATAAAACCATTTAGGAAAAGCTAAAGAGAGTAATTATTTTATACAAATGAGGGGCAAAAGGAAGAACCAATACAGAAGAATTAGATGGGGGAGGACAGCTCATCGTTCTGTAAACCTCCTTTTATCAGGAATGGGTTCAAGAGGGAACAATACATATGTATGTAAAAGAGTATAAAAGTCTTGTAAATTCAGAAGAAAATAAAACAGTAAGGGAATAGGGAGAAGGGAGAGAATAAGGGAGGGATCTCTAGAGGGGAGGGTGAGGGAATAAGTGAAATGTGGGTATAGAAGGGTGTTTAGATTTATGAGAATGGGAGGATAAGGTAGGGTTCCTTGTGGAGGGGGATGGGTTAGGTATTAAAAAGGGTAAGGGAGTGGGTAGAAGCAAAGCAGAGGAGTTGGGAGGGATAGGAAATAAAAGATACACACAAGCATAAAATAAACATTAGGAGTAGAATTTATTAGGAAAAGTATATGTCTATATATGCATGCACATATGTACGTGTCCATATGTATATGTGTGTGTATATTTCTATTTCTGTATTGTAGATAGAGAGAAAGCTCAATTGTAGCTTTCTAGGGGAGGAGTGGAGCAAGGCAGAAAAAAGAACAAAGTAAAAAATGCCAGGCAGAGAACAAAAGAAAACTTACAAGGAAACAAAGAAAAGATGGTCATTATATAGTGTTTTTTATATAGGCTTTCTTGAAATGGAAATTTATTGCTATATATTTTGAATCCTCTCTTATGTTCTGCTGTGCATATGACAAGCTTTTATTTCTTTTCTTATTTTGTATTTAAGTTTCAATATTTAAGTGTACAATATGTTTTTTTCTTATTGTGCATTTAAGTTTTAGTTTAAAAAAAACCCATAAAAATTCTACTTATATTTGAGAGAAAAAATTGTAAAGTTCAAACAATGGTTCAAGAAGTATCTTTGCCAATCAGTTCTCCAAGTGGTACCATCTTTTGAGTTATTTAGATGGATAAACTATGCCTAGATTGAGGAGGGGTTCTTCACTTGGCAGTTTAAAAAAAAATATATATATATATACAGATATACAAATCAATGTTCTTTATTTTATTTCTAGCTAAGAGTGAGATTGCCAAATGATACAGGGATTTGGGAGAAGACAACTTGAAAGCCCTATAAATATAATTATTGAAAATTTGGGTTCATATTTCCATTAATTTTGATTGTGATGTTATCCCTTGATAACTTACGTAGTGGATCCCTTTCTTGTCTTTCTGCCACCCCCACCCTCAACATGGAACATACTCAGTTGCCATTGGTTCCTGGCTTAGGACCTTTTCCTAATTAAAGACCTTTTCAACATCTCCCTTATGAAGCCTTGTTGTCACTTATGGCTGGAAGTAGGCACCCCACATGGTCACCAAGGATGGTGGCTGGGCATGCTCTCTGGGCAGCTGAAGGGCTTCATTACACTTATGGTTTGCTTTCAGAATCTCCCCTGTGTTGACACTTTCCGAGGGACAGAGCAGCTTGTGATTGCTCTATAATATGATTCCTTTGGTACTGAAGTGATGTCCCAGCCTGTGGGTTGGAATATGATATGATCATGAAGCTCCAAAGTGCTATTGCCATTAAAGTAAATTATTGAGAAATCCAAAACTTAGAAAAGAGCCTGCTTTTAAAAAATTCCTTTCTAGCATGTTCTTTAAATCGCACTCCATCTTGGCCTTTCTGGTCTATGGAAGGTCTAGACTAGAGTCTTGACCTTCAAAGGTGCTCAATGAGATATTGAGTTTCATGGAGATGCTCAGAAATCTACCAGAGCACATTCTGTATTGACCAAAGCAGGTTCAAGTCTATTAGCCTGGCACTGATTGGAGAGACAGAAGGGGAGCTGTTAGGAGTGGAACAATTTGGGACGATGTTTATCTGCATCCATTACAGCCACCTGAAGCTTAGCATCACAGCCTGGTGGCTGCTGTCTCTCTGTGAGCGTTCTTGACGCGGGGACTGCTACAGGGATGCTGCTGAGAAACACATGCAATACCTCAGTCTGTGCTGTTATGTTTCTGATACATAGCATACAAATAATCATAGTTGTGGAATTAATAGTAGTAGCTAGTGTTTACATAGTGCTTTAAAGTTTGCAAAGTGCTTGAGAAATATTATCTCATTTATTCTCACAAGCACCCTGCGAGGTGGGTGCTATTGTCATTCCAGCCATCCCTGGTGACCGTGTGGAAATGTGGGGCACCTACTTCCAGCCATAAGTGACATCAGGACTTGAAAAGTTCTTTAATTAGCTTACTGAGCCAGATACCAAACAGATAAGGAAAGTGAGGGAGAGAGCGGTTGGGTCACAGGCCTAATAATTGGTGATTAATCAGTGACCAAGGCAGGCTTTGTGCTCAAGTCTTCTACACTTAAGGTCCTAGATGACTAATTGAATTGACTTCAGTTACTTAGTGATTGTCTTTCACGTAGTGTACACAGACTGTACATATTCCACAGAGAATGGTTTTGGGGGGTTAGGAAGATCCTCCCCTTCCTCCACAAAATCTTCATCCACTGGCTAAAGCTTGGAGTTCTCCCTGAAGACTTGTTCTCATTTGTTGAACTGTTAAATACAAGTGTCTTTGGGACGAATATTGCTTTAAACTTATCAGTCACTAAGCTTGTAGTGTGACTGGAAATTCTGAGGCCAGAGTTTGTATGAGATTGTGACGATCAAATTAGAGAATATTAGTAAAGTGCTGAGCACAGTGCCTGGTAGGTGCTGTATAAATGCTTGTTCTCTTCTCCCACTTGGGCAGTGGGGTCAGTGAGGAAGAGATAGTGTACACTGATCTTTGTAGAGTGAATGACTGAAAAGCATGCAGTAAACACTGTGCTAAGAGCTGGAGGTACACACAAATAGGAAAGCAAAGCAGTCCCTGTTCTCAAGGAGAACCCATCTACGAGAATGCAGCTACAAGGCAGATGTAGAAAGTCCCATGGTCCTTAGGATAAAATAGCAAAGTACATGGCAATACCACTCCTTTAATGACATTTCCACTGGTAAAACCATTTTCTGTCTCTGGTTGTTGAGCCATTTGACTTTAGCAAGGAGTTTGGTGATGAGAATTTTCTTTTCTGAGCTTTCAGTAGCTGTGGCTGTTGAAGAGGTGGGGGCTGCAAGCAGCCTCATAGACAACTGCCATAGTTCATCTCTACGAGGGTCAATCCCCTTGATAACAGCTGTGGGGATGTCAGAGTAGAAGCAAGAAATGCCTTTAGAAGGGTGCTGATCTTCCTAGGGCTCTTGGCTATAGGGCCCTGGGCTGCCTCCATCTGGGTGTGAGGGGAGGTGGTAGTGGTAGTGGTTCATCCATGAGGCACATGCCACCCCTGTCTTTCTCTCAGGATGCCTTGGGGGTTTTAATATTTAATTTCATCTTTGCTTTCAGTAACCATAAGAATTCTTTGTTTCACCCTGTTGATCACATTTGCTCAATACCTCCAGAAATGTCCATTCGAACATCACGCAAAAGTAGTGGGTGAGGTTGTGGAATTCGCAAAAGGCTGTGCTGCTGCTGAGACAGCAGAAAATTGTGGCAATTCCCTTGTGAGTATCAACCCTCTGGTTGAGGTTGGCTTTCTCTTTTCATTTCATTTCAGATAGATCAGATTCAATAGTAATGTGTCCCACCAAGACGGCCATTTCTCTCTTTGTTCTTGGACTTTTCACACAAAGACCAGTCCAGAAGTGCTCCCTCTCATTAAAAAAAAATGCAAGGAATTGTTTTAAACTAAGAGAAAGTCAGATAATTTGAGAGGAACAGAAGACTGTCAAGGCAGTTGCCTCTCCTGACTTCTTTTCTCATGAGTCTTGTCCAAGTCAAATGAGAAAGGCCAGTACGCCCAGGGCTTTAAATAGCTCAGTGATTAGCCATATATATTTTTTCCCTCCTAACATCAACTATTTGGTGATAAGATATGTAGTCTGCCAAATTTTTGGGAGATGTATGCTGAAATGGCAGACTGCTGTGCTAAAGAAGAACCTGAGAGAAATCGCTGTTTCCTGAATCACAAAGATGACCACCCAGACCTCCCTGAAATCATAGACCCTGAAGCTGAAGTTCAGTGCCAAGCCATCCAAGAGAATGAAAACAAAGTGGGAGCATCATAAGTGAGATCAGAAAGTGAGTGTAGCGACTGGCGGGCCACTGCAGGAGACAAGGAGCCCTGGCATAGGTCATACATACTAACTGTGTGGAACCGAGGGGGAAGGCGAATAAATATTGATGAAGCACATACTCTGTGCCAGGCCCTGTGCTAAGGAGGTTACAAATATTTTGTTTGATTCCCACAACAAATTATTTAGATGTTGGTATGATTCCTGTTTTATGGATGAAGCAACTGAGGCAGACAGAGATTATGTGACATGTCCAGTGTCTCATAGCTACTAAGTGTTTCACGTCTTCCTTCATCCAGGCCTAATGCTTTATCTACTGTGCCGTCTAGTTGGCAATGGCAGGGCATTCATGCTCCTTGGGCCACAATTTCCTCATCTATGAAGTGAGGGAGTTGGATCAGATGATCTTTGTTCTCCTCTGTAGCTCTAGAATTCTGTGGTCTGAGTGCCCCAGTCAGTCTGGCCAAGACTACTATGTTATTAAAAAGTGGCCATTCTGCAGAGATAGAGGGAATTTCCCTGCTCAGAATTTGCTATGCTCAGAGCAGGACCTACATTTGGGGTCCTAAGGGTGGTAGACTCAGAGCAAACTGAAAATATTTGTAGCACCTTGATCTATGTGGTAATAGCAGCATTCAGCCCTGAGTTAGTAGGAATAACTAACTTTGAGAAGAAGGTGCTGGACCTTGTTGGTGGTGGTTGTGTAGACACACCAATTCCTATTCAGAGTGAATGAATGCCAATGAAGTCACAGTTCCAGATTAGAGGGGGCAGCAGAAGTCAAATCTAGTTTGGTTCAGTTGGAGGAGTAAATTGCTTCTACCTGATTCTAGTTGATGTGGGTACGAGGTTGAGGACATTTATTATTTGCAGCTACTCAAAAGTGACCACATGGTTGTCTTTGCCAATTTCAGCTACATCTATGAAGTTTCCAGAAGACGCCCCTACTTCTACGCCCCAGAACTCCTTGTCTATGCTCATCAGTATAAGGAAGCAGTGAAAGAATGTTGCCAGGGTATTGACAAAGCCACGTGCCTCCAAGAAGAGGTGAGAGAGAGAGAGAGAGAGAGAGAGAGAGAGAGAGAGAGAGAGAGAGAGAGAGAGAGAGAGACAGAGAGACAGAGACAGAGAGACAGAAACAGAGATAGAGAGACAGAGACACACAAAGAGACAGACAGAGACAGAGAGACACAGTCCAAGAGTGATATATAGAGAGACAGAGACAGAGACAGACAGAGTCAGAGACAGACAGACAGACAGACAGACACACACACCACACACACACACACACACACACAGAGAGAGAGAGAGAGAGAGAGAGAGAGAGAGAGAAGAGAGAGAGAGAGATAAAATCAGTGTGGGATATGTGACCTGGACCCAAGAAGTCCCATCTTCCTTACCATGATCATCCATCAGCACCTTATTGAGTCCTGGCCCTTGGCTTGAGAGGCAGTGTGGTACAGTAGAGAAGGCTGTTGGGGTGGGGTGGGGTGAAGTCAGGAGCGTTTGGGTTGAAGTCCATCTCAGATGCTCACTAGCTGTGTGACCCTCTGCAGGTCACGTCCTTTCTCCCAGCCTCAGTTTTCTAATCTGTAGTCTGAGGGGGTGGCACTTGGTGCTCTTTCCCGCTCCAAGTATATGACCCTTCCTTTATTCCTCTTCAGTACTGTCCTCACTTCTGTGAAGGGGAGGGTGATAGAGTCTGCCCCTGTGTTGCTTAAACTTTCCAATCCCCTGACTCATTTCACTATTTGTGATAATGCAGTTGAGAACTTCTTGTATCCTGGTGTCAGCATTCTGTGTGTGTGTGTGTGTGTGTGTGTGTGTGTGTGTGTGTGTGTAAGCATGTGAATTTATATTTGTGGAGGAATTTGGAGTGGACAGACTCTGCTGTAGGCAGAAGAGTGAGTTTTGCTGACTGATGATATTGGGAACATTAGGCAGGACTGAAGATGCAATTGAAGACATAGTTGTGTTGTTGGCCAATCTTTTTCAGTTGTGTCTGACTTTTCCTGATCCCATTTGCAGTTTTCTTGGCAAAGATCCTGGAGTGGTTTGCCCTTGTATAGAGGAAGAACTGAGGCAAATAGGGATAAATGACTTGTCTAGGGTCACACATTTTGTTAGTGTCTGAGGTCAGATTTGAACTCATAAAGATGAGTCTTCCTGATTCTAAGCTTAGTACTCTATCCACTGGGCCAGCTAGTTGCCTAACGACATAGTTGCCTCTAAGGAAAATTGGGAAGCAGGTGAAGTTTGTCTTCTTGCTTCCCTTAGACTCTTTCCGATGTTACAGGAGGTATTTGGTACCCTTATAGTGACTCTTCACTGCCCAAGTACCCCACTGCAGTAACATTCCCAAGTCCACTCTCCTCCAAAAGGCTCCTCCCCTATCAAAATATACCCTATCCTCTTCCCTATCTCTTTGACACTGTACTCTCAGCCAGATGTCTTCTTTGAAAACTAATCTGAAAAAATAATTCACATTCAATTGTTAATAATTGATTTGTTACCCTAACAGTGTTTTGAGGATTCTAAGAGGTACAGTGCCCAAACCTGAAGGAATGGATCTCCAACAGTGCAATTTTAGGCACATGGTAAGCCAATGAAGGATATGTTTTCAATGTGAGCTCCTTTTGGCAAATCCCATACATTTTAATTTTATTCCCAAGCCTAGCGCTGGTTAGTACGTAAGCAATTTTACTTTGATACTGACTGACAAAACATTCTGTCTTAAATACTTTGAGAACAACCTATGCTACATTATTTTCCAAATAGGGAGAGTATGTCCTCCTTAGCAAAGATAAAGACTTGTTCCATCAGGATATGGAAAGTTAAAGATTTCGTATTGCAGAGAGGAGCACAGATTGAGAGCTGGGAGGGACTTTGGAGAACTTGTATTTACTAATTTGATCACAGGTGAGGAGACTGAGGTCCAGAGAGCATTCCTAATGCCTAATTACCGTCCTTGTGGTAATTAGCTGGATGGATTCACTCTTTGTGTCAATGGAAATGAATGTCATAGCTTCAATTCTAATCCAACAAGCATTTATCAGTCCCCTATTAGATAACATTAAAGACCCAGGGGGACCAAGAGAAAACTCAAAATATTCCCTCTCCTCTTGGAACTTACAATGAATTACACGCTGGTGAGATTATCACTGACCATTCCCAAATCTGAATAACTATCTTGTAATTGTGTCCCCTTGGTCACAAGTGGCACAACTGAAGTGAGCTTTAGGGGTTACTGCAAAATTCTGTCACTGCTACTAAGAAAACCAGCCCAAGCACATGGGTTATTATTGGTGTGTGAGTAATCTTCATATAAAGTAGGGTCTCTTACCTTTCTCTGTCTCCGTCTCTCTCTCTCTGTCATGGAACCCAGATTAAATCTCTTAAATTATGAAGAAAATATAGAATTAATTGGTGAGGATTTTGTAGGGAGTTTATTTTTGATATTAATGAAAATAGGGAAATCATTTTTGAAAAAATGTGAAATCTTCTTTCTACAGCTCTCTGCTTTAAGAGAAAAAGTATTACTTGCAGGTGTAAAACAGAGATTCCGATGTTCCAGTTTAGACAAGTTTGGAGAGAGAGCTGTCAAAGCTAGGTAAGTCTCTAAGTTCTATTTGCCTAAAAACCTTTGTATTTGTTAAAGAAGCAAAGATAGAAAATGGCCTGGGATTCCAGTATCTATAGCTAACACCACTTTCTGATGTTAATTTGATAACTTCTAAAAAGTAAAAGTGAAATTCAACAAAAAGATCAACTGAGTCCTTTTCTCCAAGCAAGGTAACATTATCAGGGCATTACCTGCCAGTAGAATGGGTCTGATAACTGCCTCAGTTAGCTAAAAGACAAAGAATTGAAGATGCAACTCATTTTTACAAGCATAAAACAAAGCATAGAACTGAGTAGGTGACATCATGGGGTTGAGAACAATATGATTGGTTACATAGCTGAAGCTCAGGCAACAATATGATTGATTGGAAGTTGGAAATTCAATGGAAGTAGGAAACAGCTCCCTTCTTCTTACCTGTGACTGAGAAGAGTTCATTTGAGTCCACTTTCAAGGTTAAAAGAAAGTGGGCCAGGGGAAGCTAGCTGATGCAGTGGGTAGAACACAGGGCCCTGGAGTCAGGAGAACCTGAGTTCAAATATGGCCTCTGACACTTGACACTTACCAGTTGTGTGACCCTGGGAAAGTCACTTACCCCACTGCTTAGCCAGAAAAACAGAAAAAAAGAAAAAGAGAAGCAAAAGACAGTCCTTTTAGGGGCAGCTAGGTGGCACAGTGGATAGAACTCTGGCTTTGGAGTCAGGATGACCTGAGTTCAAAGGTGGTCTGAGACCCTTGACACTTACTAGCTGTGTGATGCTGGAAAAGTCACTTAACCTCCATTGTTTCACCAAAAACCAAAAACAAAATAGTGGGCCAGTCTTCTTTGGATAACAAACCAGACATCTTTGAAGGAAAGCCTGCTTTGTGTCTACCCTCCCCCCCAAAGATAACAGAATTCCTTGAGGCCATAATAGAACAGTGATTAGTAGGAGAACTTGATTTCTAACCTAAACTCTTTATAGGTGAGTGTATTTCTGCACCAATTTCAGGGACAAAGAACTGTGACTTAGGCAGTTACAGGACAAAATCGATTAGCTGTAAATAGGAACGGTAAAAAATGATTAATTATCTCAGAATCAAACATTTCCTGTTTAGTCCTTGGTATAAAAGTGGCAGGCATTTCCATTCTAGTTTTATAAGTGAGGTCTATCCTCCAATTCGAAGTATTAGAGAAGCTTTTTGGGAGGGGTTTTCCCACAACCCCACTCTCACTGCATCCCTCCTTGACTTAGATGAATGCTCCAATTCCTCCTCCTGCCATATTGGTGAGGGGCTCTGGTTCTCTTTAACACTCTATCTAGCACTCTGACTCATGACATAGTGTCATTCATCCCAGTTAAGCCCTGATTCTCTTTTCATTGTAAAAGTACAAATCCACCTTGAGTTGGACTGCTCCAAGTACCCCACAGAGTCTCTAGGTAACCGTGCTTATTAAGTGCTTAGAATTTGCACAAAGAGTGACACAGGAGGCCAATGCCTTCTAAGACCATCAAAATTTAATAATGATGGCCACTGGTAATAGAAAGGACTGGACAAGCCTTCCCCTTCCCAAAGATTAATGATAAGAAAATATGGCAGAGTATACAGAGTGTTGTCCTCTGAGTCAGAATGATTTGGGTTCGGGGCCTGTATCTGACACTTTCTATGGGTCAACTCATTCAAGAACTTCACAGCAATTTGAAAAATACTTTTCAGGAAATTTTCTTGTAATTTTTATTTTCTAAGGATTGACCTCTCATGAATTTTATTCCTAAGCTCATAGGCCGGCTAAGTCAGAAATTCCCTAAGATCGAATTTGCTGAACTTCATAAAATAGTGGATGATCTTGCCAATGTTCATAAGGAATGTTGCCATGGTGACCTGTTGGAGTGTGCTGATGATAGGGTCAGTATTTACTGGTATTACCCCACATTGTTTTTATATAAACTTCTCTATAATGTACTTGTCTGAGTTTTTGAAAAACCCAAATATAAGAAATTTTTAAACAGGGGAATCATAATGAATAAATTTGAATTTATAGTTTTTTTCAAACCTTAGCTTATTCTGTCAGCCAGCCAGTCAACTGGCATTATTAAGCACCTACTATATGCCAGGCAGTAGGCTAAGCTTGTGTCCTTCTCTATAGGAAGTCTTTTCTCATCTCCTCAGCTTCTCATTTCTTCCAGCAGAAAATTACCATGTATTGACTTGTATATATTTCTATAAAGCATCTATATATTTGTTATTTGCCTGGTTAGAATATGAGTTGTAAGAGGATGAGCACTTTTTGCCTTTCAATTCCCGGGGGTGTAGCATAGTACCTTACAAGTGGAAGGCACTTAATTATTTGCTGCTGTATAAAATAAGGGAGTTCCTTAGCAAGATGGTGAAGTACAGTACACAAGGTTTGTTCCTAATGTTGTCATTGCTTCCCTGTCTCCTGCTATAAGAAATTTTCCCACTCCCTCTGATCCTGTGGTTCCTAGACACCTCAAACTCTCTTTATTATTTTTCTTACCCAAATTAGTTTTTAATAGCATTATCATTATTATTTTTGGTTGATAACTCATAAAAAAAATTAGTGAGGTTAAGGTAAACTTGGTTGCTATTCAGTATGTCAGACAGTCAATAAGCATTTATTAAGCACCTCCATGTGCCAGATACTGTGCTATATACATTGGGGATGCAAAGAAAGACAATGATAGTCCCTGTCCTCAAAAAGCTTACATTCTGGTGGGAGGAGACCACATGCAAATATATAATGCATATGGAAGGTATACTTAGAGTACATGGGAGGTAATCTGAGGAGGGAAAGGTCTTACAGCTGGAGGACCTCTTCATCTATCTTAAAACAGCCAAGGATTCTAAGATGCAAAGGTGAGGGGGGCAGAGCATTGAGGCATGGGGGACGGACAGTGTCCCTAGTTTGGAGAGCTTATGGAATGGAGTGAAGTAGAAGAGTAGCTGCAAGGTAGGAGGAGGACAGGCTATGGAGCAGTTTGAATATCAAACAGAGAAGTTGATGTTTGATCCTGGAGGTACTAGGAGTCGCTGAGCTCACCAAACAGGAGAGTGACGTGTGTAGACCTAAGGCTGGGAAAAATCAGCCAAGTGGAGGATGTATAGGACTGAGGAGAGACTTGAGCTGCACCCAAGTATTGAAGTGCAGGAGAAAGGAGGGAGAATGAACCAGGGGAGGTTGACAAAACCCAGTAGAGTCTGGACAGGGTGATTCATCTGGTTGGGTTGAACTTTAAAGGAAGACAGAGAATGCAGGTGGTAAGGTAAGGGTCTTAAAGTGGCAATGAGGGGGCAAGGAATCCCCTGTCCCCATTCTCTCTTGGCTGTGTGTGTGTGTGTGTGTGTGTGTGTGTGTAACATGTAAGAATGAGAGAAGGGACATCCCATTCTGAAGAGAGCTTGGGCAGGGATGAAATGTCTCCAGGTGAATGTCAGTTTTCTGAGCCTGCAAGGATATGGAAGGAGCTCGAGAGGAAGGAGTGCAAGTGAAGAACAGTTTGTTAACAATAGAGAAGTTGTACAGGGCATTCTAGAAGGGAAAGGGAGAGCTTCATTGGAGTCCCTAGAATCTTAGACTACTCAGCTTATATTGAACAGCTTCTATCTCTTGGCTTGTAGGTGGCTCTTTCTGAGTATGTTTGTAACCACAAAGATGCAATCTCCTCCAAACTCAGAAAATGCTGTGACAAGCCTGTAATCCAGAAGAGCCAGTGCATTGCTGATCTGGAGAATGATGACATTCCTGCTGACCTCCCTAACTTCCTTGCTGAATATGTAGAAACCAAGGACGCCTGCAAAAACTACCAGGAAGCAAAAGATGTCTACTTAGCCCAGTAATGAAACTTTTAATCTTATTCTTGTGTTCCTTTCATATGCTTAATACCATATACCTTCACAGTTGTAGAGCTGTTGGTTCTTCTCCCAAGAGTTTTAGGCAGAAATAGAAAGAAAAGTTCTTCATTCCTTCGGCTGTATCTAGACCACTGACTCTGGAACTTCAGCTTAATTGTACCTCATCTTTGGCTCCATGCAATATACTCTCTTTCTTTCAACCTCAAGAAGAGACCAATGATGGCTGGAAGTCATAATTTCCCAGCTTTGCCCAGAAATGACAGATATCTGGGAACTAGGAAATAGTTTTAGACATGTGGTATTTGGAGGAGTGCAAAGGGCCCTTTTACTCTGAATCTACCCACTTCGTGGGTGTTGAGGCTTGATGAAATTATCGTTCATTAATTAGGGAAGAAAGGGAAACCTTGCATTGTCTCCTGTCCACTGATCTGCTCTTCATCCATCAATGCATCCCACCACATACTGATCCATCCATTCATTCACTCTCATTCATAGAACAAATATCTGTTGAGATCTATATTACACTCACTGTTCTGAACAAGGCACTGTAAGGGATACAAAGAAGTATAAGATAGAATGTTAGCATTCCAGGAAGGTACAGAGTAATTAAGAAGTTGGTAGCCATCCAGACATGTGACCATTAAGTAAGAGTAGGAGGCAGTATGGAGTTAAGTGCTATTAAGTGTGGAACTGGGAGATATATTTCTGGTGTCATCTGGGCTGAGTCATATACTGCAATATTACACAGTAGGGCTACACAGAACTGATTTTTTGGGAAAAAAAAGGAAAATTTAACACCATCTGGTGAATCCATCAATATAAAGACCAATAAGCGAAGTTAACTCTAAACATTTTATCTGAGAAATTTTGGTTGTAATTCTACAAAATCTGTGGAACTTTAGACCAAAGGAATAATGCTGGGGCTGATCCTGTTCCTTACCATGCTCACATGTGTTTGTTCTTCATTCTTCAGCTATCTGTATGACAGTGGAAGAAGACATCCTGAGCTTGCTGTTACCACACTGCTGAGGCTTACCAAGGACTATGAACACACACTTGAGGAGTGTTGTGCCACAGCTGACCCTCCTGCTTGCTTATGCCAAAGTGGTAGGTTTTTCATGAGAAAGAAAAAAATGGCACCATTTTATTAGCTCGATCTAGAAATGACAGCAGAGTGTGTTAAAAAAAAAAAAGGACAGAAAGCAAAGTCATATGAATGCTAATTGGACCTTACCTTGGCACTCTTGTCTCCTGGGCTTTCAAATCAGGTTGTCATGAAGAATGTTTAAAAGAATTAAGGAGAGTTGCCTTAGAGATGGGAATGTTGCAAATGAGACTGTCATTCTAGAACAGCTCTTTCATAAAGGAGATTTTGCTTGTTTCCATTTCCACTAAGAATGAGAAAAATCATTCTAAGAAGTGTAATTTAAGAGAGACTCAGTTTAGTTGGACAGAAGACTTTCTGAGTTTTCTTGAGCATGAGGGTCATTAGGCAGTGGAATTGGAATGGCCCTGTACGGAAATCTTGAAAATCCTTGTTTGATTTTTTATATATGCTTTTGAATGAAATTAAGTGAGCCTTAGGCAATGAAGGTTGAGGACTAATTCTAAAATGATTTATAAACTGGGTACAATCAGTGAAAAATAATAGGCAATATATGGACTGTGTCCACAGGAGACTTTTTATATAATGACTCCATAGAGCACATAGTATGAACACCATTTTATTCTCCTTCAGACTGAACATCAGAAAGCTATTATTAATGAAAGCAGCCATTTAATAAAGGTAAGATGTGATCTTTTTGAAAAAGTTGGAGAATATAATTTTGAAAATGTATAAGTGGAACTTCACAGCTTGATCAGTTTTTAGTATTTAGAGTTTAATAGAATGGAAGGACAATCTCTTACAAAAGACCATAAAACATAAAAGCTTCAACTTTCCATTTCAAAGGCTCTGCAGGCCTCTGGTTCTTTTGATACTTTGGAGCTGCAAGCACAGTACTTAGGCTGTCCACTGGTTTGCTGTTATTCATAGACTGAGGCAGCTTGGGGCAGTGAAGGGAGCGCTGGGCTCCGAATAAGGAAAGCTTGAGTTTGACATTCGGTTGTGACCTGACTCTGACACTTGCCAGTTGTGTAGTTTTGGGCAGGTCACTGGAAGACAATTTCCTTCTCTGTCAGATGAGGGTGTTGGACTCAATGAACTCCAATATTCTTTCCAGTTCTAAGTCTGTTATTCAATGTTGAAGTAAATAAGATTCTTCCATATGGAAAGCTGAAGCTTGAAAAGTGATATGATCCAATGGTAACAAACGACGGAAGGAAGCAACAGAGCAGGGAATGCCAGACTTGTTCAGGCAACTGTGAGGCCTGGGACCCCATTGGAGATGTAAACGAAACAGTTCAGGAGAAATAAATGATTGGACTACTCTTTGTGATGGAGCACAGACTTGTAGAATACCAAGAGGTGGTAGAGACTAAAGAGTCACGTAAGCTGAATGTTTAAGAAAGACCCACATATGACAGATGAATACTGGGGGAAATTGGGATATTTGGGAAACTTCCATCATTGAAAATGTGAACATCATTGAGGGGATCAAGGCAGCGTCACAAAAGTCCTTATCGGGGCACCTGGATGGCTTAGTGGATAGAGCACTGACCCTGCAGTCAGGAGGACCTGAGTTCAAATCCGGCCTCACATGAAACGCTTGACGCTTACTAGCTGTGCGACCCCAGGCAAGTCTCTTAACCCCAATTGCCTAAAAAAAAAAAAGTTAAAAAAATGTCCTTGTCACTACTATGCAAAACATAGTATTGGGTAGAATGCATGAATGGTGGAGGCCATGACAGCGGAGGGCCATAGAGAGAGAAAAAAGGAAGGGCCATATTGACTGCTAGGGATGGTCAGTTTAATGATGTCAGACTGACTCTGAGTAGGTGTTTGTTGCTTGACAAGTTTTTAATGCTATTATTATTGTTATTGTTGTTTTACTAAAAGTGATTCTTTGACTGACTACAAACATTTGGAACATTGTAATTACAGAGCACTGATCAGGGATACCAAAAGATTACCTCAATCGCCAACCCCAACATTGGTGGGCCTTGTGCATCACTTTGGAAAAGTTGCCACTAGATGCTGTAAACTTGGTGACCAGGAAAAAACAGCCTGTGCTGAGGACCATGTGAGGTTTATTCTTTTCTTTTTTACTTTAATACTACTCTTGTGAGTTTTTATTTTGACATGCCAATAAAAAATTTTGTGGCAGAGAAGTGCCCTTTATAAATGTTAGTTACTTCTCCTCTTAAGCAGAGCACCTAAAAATCCCAAATCAAAACCCCTTTATTGATTTATTTTAAAAAAAATCTTACCTTTTCAAGAGCTTCAAATTTCTTATGTAACTGAGGCTAAAAATTCAATGGCCAAAATTGGACTCAGGCAATGAGTAAGGGTGGACTGCAGTATCACAGTTTAATTCAGTCTGCTGAAACATTAATGTGTTCACCCTACTCATTTGGTGAATTCACCCAGTTCTTTCCTTTTGCTTTAGGGGGCTATCGTATATGACAAGCTGTGTCACCAGCATGAGAAGACCCCAGTGAGTGATAGAATCACCAAATGCTGCACAGACTCCTTGGTGAACCAGAGGCCCTGCTTCAATGCCTTTGGAGTTGACGACCCATACAAACCGAAGGCATTTTCTGCAGACACATTCACCTTCCATGCTGACCTGTGCACACTTCCTGAAGAAGAGAAACAGAACAATAAGCAAAGTCAGGAGCATTTAGTCTCCTGCGTTCCTCAAACTCATTCTCCTCCTCCTTGAGAATGAGAAAGACATTCTGCTGACAACACGAGCAAACCTTTCTGTTTTAGGGCGAGAATCTGTCAGGGAAAAGAATTTAGAAAGTGATACAGGTGCAAGTCACTCAGAAGAAACTTGCGGGGCAAATGACTGTAATTGGGTAGTAACTAATAGTAATGATTACTACTAGTATTTACATAGATTTTAAAATTTCCAAAGTACTTTTACATATATTATCCCCTTTGATCTTCACAACAACCCTGAGAGGTAAGGAATATTATGATCCCCATTTTACAGATGAGAAAACAGATGCTGAAAAACATAAAGCAACTAGTCCAGAGTCACATAGCTAGTAAGAATCTCAGGCAGTGTTTGAACTCAGGTCTTCTTGACTTCAAATCCAGCAGTGTATCCACCATGGCACCTAGCTATCCATCTAAGTCTACTGCCATTCAATAGACAGTCAAACAGAGAGCCAGGTCACTCTCTGGAGGATCTGTCATTTTGGATAATGCAAACTAAAGGACCATCTCTCTCTGGTGAAATGTGATGAAGCCCATGGAAAGATGTCTAGGATCCTTGAAGGGGAAGGCAGGAAAATGTCCCAAGGTGGCCCTAATGCCTCCAAAAGGATCATCTTTACTCATGTCTTTCTCCAAACCTCAGGCTTCAATGTGAGGATCTCCCCTCTTTGATTTGTGACCTAGAACTAAGGCCAGATGAAGCATGGTTGGTCAACCTGGTTGCTTCTTGACTTTCATCAGCATTTCTGTGTTTTCTTTCATTCCAGTATACTGGTGGAACTTGTGAAACATAAGCCCCAAATGACTGATGACCAACTCAAGGGTGTAATTACTGATTTCACTGCATTTGGGACAAGTGCTGCAAAGCTCCCAACCAGGAAGCCTGCTTGCTGAAGACGTATGGACTTCTCTTTTCTTTTTATTGCATTTACCTTTGGCAGTCTTTGGTGATGCCTCTAATGGGGCTTGGCCAGAGTACTTAGGCTTAGTGCCACCACTGGTCATTCTTAAAGCAAGAGGCTTTTCCATTTTCCCCCTTGACTAAAATATTCCAGTCCATTGAAAGCTCGGTTTGTGTTGTGCATTTGTAGTTTTCTTTCACTTGTCAAATGGTTATCAGTCTCCCCTGTCTCCTATGTGTCAGGACGAATGAAAATCATGCATGTGTAGCATTTGAGGCATGCATAAGACTTAGTGGTAGAATTCCTTTAGCTGGCCATCTTTTTGGCTGTAACCCAGCTGTAAGCTGTGCCTGTGCACAGGTAGTGAAACAGCCCCAGTTTCACCCAATCACTGAACCCAGAATCTTAGGGATGGAAGGGACCTCAGAGACCTTCTGGGTCAGGGCTTCTTAACCTTTTTTTTTTACAGACCTCTTTGGCAGCCTGTTGAATCCTATGGCTTCCTTCTCAGAATAATGTTTTTGAAAAACACAAAATTAAGTATACACACGAGTGTCAAGGAAACCAATCATATTGAAAAACAATTTCCAATATTAAAAAAATTACGAACCCCTGATGTATTCCAATCTCAACCCCGGAATTCTCTCTTCCCTACTTGACATTCTCATCCAGACTTCACTGGAAGACCTTAAGGGAGAAGAAGTCACTGCTTCACTCTTTAACATCTTCCCATTGCTCGTACAGTTTTCCACCATCTAGGGCCCCAGTGAACAATTCAAAACTCTCTTTCACCAAAGAATCTTTCTTATAGTTTCAACACCAGATGAATACACAGATAGGCTCCTCTTCCTTGAGCAGGAATCTAACATTCAGGGATGTTTATGCACACATACCTTCCCATGTACTTTGATAGGGATGGTTTTGTATATTCAAGGGCAATGGATAATGCTTAAAGATCCCCCTTTCAGGGACCTTAGGCTTGGACACTCTGGAATCTCTCACAAGTCTGTGATTTCTTTCCATGCAGGGTCCCAAACTGGTTGCTTCAGCTCAAGCTACCTTAGCTTAAACACCAGATGGACAAGCCACCACTAGTGTTTCAGGTAACTCTCTTTGGGTATTTCATTGGCAATAGGTTGATATGTCAAGTATCTGGGCTTCCAGTTTTGTGGGACCATCTTCCACTGACACATTCCACAGCTGATGGATACCTCAGTCTTAGTTGAGTTTAAATGATTTGAGGATAAGCATCAGAGGTTTGGTACAAATCCAAATCCTCTTGACTCAATGTCCAGCACTCTATACTGTGTTGCCTGGCATATGGGCAATACTGAGGCCTGAATTTAACTCTACACTACCAGGCTGCCTTAGTCAATGGGGCTGGTGATCCTTGAGAAATGATCCCTCTTTTTTTTTTCAAGGCAATTGGGGTTAAGTGACTTGGCCAGGGTCACACAGCTAGTGTCAAGTGTTTGGTCTGAGGCCGGATTTGAACTCAGGTCCTCCTGACTTCAGGGCTGGTGCTCTATTCACTGTACCATGTAGCTGCCCTGAGAAATGATCCCTCTTAGGATGGAGCCTGAAGGGGATCTGTTTTCTACTGAATTGTACTCTACTTGACATGAGGTAGTATTGTATTAAAATCCAAGGCAGTATACATATGAAGTATATTGAGGATTTCTCACCTCAGGAAGAGAGGACCACTTTCCATCTCAAATCTTTATGGATACATTTTTTTCCTTCACTTGCTGAATTCATTACTGCTTTGCAATTTTTTTTTGTAATTTTTTCAATCAATCCATTGTCTTTTAAATATGGAGAAGCCTTTATATAGAGGAAGGAAGATTATGGATATAGAACCTTCATATAGAATTGGACTTAGTAAATGTGTTAATTTAGTAGAACTTTTTTTTTTAATTACCAATATAAAGAATATCTCTCTAGGAAGGGGTGGAGGCAGGGATATGTTGGGAAAAGTAGGTGATGTGAAGTGAAAAAATTACTATCCTCTTTTTCAAAAGGGTGGAGGAAATATGAAAATATTGTTTTCTTAATTTGAAAAATCATGCAAACCATTTGATTCAGCAATACCAGTAGATCTGCATTTGAAATAGATTTTTTTTGAGAAGGAAAAGGATCTATTTTCCAAATAATATTTATAGCAGCTCTTTTTTTGTAGAGGCAAAGAATTGGAAATTGAGGGGATGTCCATCAATTGGAGAGAGGTCTAACAAGTTGTTTATGATTCTGATGGAATATTATTGTGCCATAAAAATTATGGACAGGATGCTCTCCTAAAAACCTGGAAAGACTTACATGAGCTGATACAAAGTGAGATGAGTAGAACCAGGAGGGGACTATACTGAGGAACAGCAATGTCGTGTGATGCTCTACTATGAATAAACTGTGATATTCTCAGCAATACAATGATCCAAGATGTTTCCAAAGGCTCATGATGAAAAATTCTATCCACGTCCCCAGAAATATCTCATGAAGTCTGAATGCAGATTGAAGCATATATTTTTTACTTTCTATATTTTTTATGACTCCTTTTTTGGGGGGGCGGCCTGTGTTTTCTTTCCCAACACGACTAATATTTGATATGTTTTTCATGATTGCACATGTACAACTTATATCAAACCGCTTACTGTCTCAGGGAAGGGTGAGGAGGCAAAGAGGGAGAGAATTTGTAATGCAAAATTAAAAAAAGAATGTTAAAATTGTTTTTATGTATAATTGGGAAAATAAGATATTAAGAGATTTTAAAGCCATTTTTGCTTAACATGCTTTTTTTGTCTTCTAGTTGACCAGTGGATGAAAACAGAGATGAAATTGAGCGCCCAAAATTCAGCATCTGTTTTGTTTCTCTGTTGGTATCAAAGTGACAGAGTTAAGAAAACATCAACTTTGCCGTAAATTTTTTATCATTTCCCAGTGTCACAATAAATAATAAAGAAAATTATAATTATCATGGCAGTTGTCTAGGACTGATCTTTCTGTGGTGTGTGAGTATGACTTGTAACGGAGGGTGTTTTCTTCCTAGATCTGCAAGTGCCTGAATTAGACTTTCTCTCCTACTTTGAGCAGTTTTCCCCACACAAAGATCCTCAACTCTATGCTTGAAAATTCATGGACATCAGCATTAATTTTAAATGGGTTATAAGGATTTGGTTTTTGGGTTCTTTTTTCTTTTTAATTTGAAAATATGTCTAAAAATATTGGGGTGAATCCTGGGACCTGGATAGTCAGTAGGCAAGTTCTAGTTATTAGATATATTAACAAGTATCTTCATCAATAGAAAATATGGCTGAGGTGTAAAGCCATGGCATGAATATAGCAGCTGAATAGCAGCCAGGGCCAGGCTGGATGAGGGGCTTTGAGACCCATATAAGGGATCCAGGGTGAGGTTATGGTAACAACTGGTCAGAGAGGGAGACATAATGATGGGAACTAAGCCTTTTCATTTCAGGAGTCAAATTGAGTTGTTAAAGAGGTGAGAAAGCTAGGCGATAGAGCCCTGGACCTGAAGTGAGGAAGAGCTGAGTTCAAATCTGTTATCAGACATTTACTAGATGGGTAACCCTGGGCAAGTCATTTAACTTCCTCTGGCCTCAATATATTCCATTGAAAAATGGGGATTGTAATAGCACCTACCTCCCAGGTTTTTGTGAGGACCAAATGTCAAAATAATTAAGAAGCACTTAGCACAGTTCCTGGCACATTGTAAGCACTACATCAATATTTTTGGTTATTACTATTATTATTGTATTGTAGTAGTAGTAGTAGTAGTAGTAACAGTAGCAGCAGCAGCAGTAGTACTAGTACTAGGAGTAGTAGGAGGAATGAAGCTGGTCAATGGATGTATAATCAATGAACCAGGTTGAAGTGAGAGAATCTGATGGTGTAGCAAAGTAGGGTCGAAGACAAAGTGTAAACTCTCCTACCAGGTGTCCTTGAATGTAATCTCTCTCCTCTTCAGTCTCTTCCCCACACCACCATCAAAGTGAAGATGCTGAAGTCTGATCATGGCATTCCCCTCTTCCATAACCCCCACTGGCTTCTTTTGCCTTTAGATTCAAACAGGCCTTCTCCTGTCTGGCCGTGAAGCCTGTGACAGTAAGGCTCTGACCTTCCTTTCTAGGCTTAGTCTCCATTGCTCTCCTTCATTCACTCTTTAGTCCAGTCAAACTGGCCTTCCTAGTGTTTCCTTACACACAGCTTTCCATCTCTGGGCCTTTGCTCAGGCTGTGCCCTCCTCTTGGTATTCCTTCCTCCTCACTTCTACCTCCTAGGATCTCTATTTTCCATCAAACTTCAGCACCAAGGCCATCTCCTTCATGAGGTGTTTTTTGATCCCTACACACAATCCTCTGTATGCTTTCATGTATGCTTGTCTGCGTACACAAGTTTCTTCTAGTAGAATGTAAGCTCCTTTTCATTTTATTGTCTTGGTAGTCTCCATACATAGCACGGTGCCTGTCATTCAGTAGGCATTTAAGAAATGCCATTTGATTGATTGATTAAAAAGTAATAGACAGGACCTCTCCTGGGAGGCTGAATTGTATCAGCGAAGGTTCTTCATGGAGTCTCACCTTTAAGGAAGTTACTCAGGTCATTTAAATAGACCAACTATTTGGAAAAGCCTCATTAGGACATATAGATAGAAGAAAAGACTCTCATGTGATCATGATGATGGCTAAACAAAGGGCTGGATTCTTAGACTCCCAGGCCTTTGTTCATTAAATAACCTGTGTTTAGCACCTTCTGTGCAGACAGTACCTTACTTGGAACTATAGGGGTCAGATAAAATCATGTAATTTATTTTTTTCAGGTATGTTCAGTTCTAGAATATCAAAGCTACTCCAAAGTTACTTTGATGTTTTGTGGAGAAATGAGCAGAACCAAGAGAATGTTGTATACAGTAACAGCAATATTATTTGAAGAGTGACTATGAATGGCTAAGCTATTTTGAATAATATGATCATTTGAATCAACTCCATAGGACTTGTGAAGGAAAATCCAACCCCATAGAAAGAACTAATATGTAGATATAGATATCCAACCCCAAAGAAAGAACTAAGATGTAGATATAGATATATAGTATGGATTCACATATATATGTACATACATATGTACGTACACACATGGACATAGACATAGACATATGTGTATATACATATATGCATTATACACATATACACACATATATAACATTCTCTTGGTTCTGCTCATTTCTCCATGCATTAGTTCATGCAAGCCTTTCCATGCTTTCCTAAAACCAACCTGCTTATGATTAGTATTCCATCAAAATCACATATCACAACTTGTTCAGCTATTCCTTATTTGATGGAATATAAACTCCAGTTCCAATTCCTTGCCCCCACAAATAGAGCTGCTATAAATATTTTAGAATATATAAGTTCTTTCCCTTTTTCCCTGATTACCCTGGGGAAACAGACCTAATAGTTCTATTTTATTGCCGAGTCAAAGAGTACACGCAATTTTATAACTCTTTGGATGTAATTCTTGATTGCTTTCCAGAATGGTGGGATCAGTTCCCAATTCTGCCAACAGTGTATTAGTGCCCCAATTTTTTCACATCCCCTCCACCATGTCATTTCCCTCTATCATTTTAGCCATTCTGATAGGTGTCTGATGAGACAGTTGCTTGAATTTGAATTTCTTTAATTAATGATAACAGAGCATTTTTTCATGCGATTATATACAGCTTTGATTTGTTTTCCTCAAAACTGCTTATGCAGATCTTTTGACCACTTATCATTTGGCTCACATTCTTCTTAATCTGGCTTCATTTATATATATTTGAGGTATAAGGCCTTTATCTGAGAAACTGATTATTAAAAATTTGTTTAACTTTCTGCTTTCTTTTTAATCTCGGCTATATTGGTTTTATTTGTACAAAACCTGTTTAATTTAATGTAATCAAAATTATTCATTTTACATCCCACAGTGCTTTCTATCTCTTGTTTAGTCATAAATTGTTTTCTTATCCATAAGTCTGATAGATAATAGGCTCCATACTCTTCTAATTTACTTACGATATCACCCTTTAGAACTAGGTCGTGTATCTATTTTGACCCTTTTCTTGGAAAATGGTACAATATATTGGTCTATATTTAGTTTCTGTCATATTGCTTTCCACTTTTCCAAGAAATTTCTTTTCTTTCTTTCTTTTTTGTTTACCCAATAATGAATTCTTATCCCCAGAGTTTAGTTCTTTGTGTTTATCAAACATGAACTTACTATAATCATTTACTATTGGGCATTGTAAACCTACTCTGTTCCGTAGATCCATTATTCTAGTTTTTAGCTAGTACCAAATAGTTTTGATAATTACCTCCTTATAATACAATTCAAGATTTGTTACTCGTAGACCCCCTTCCTTTACTCCCCCCCCCATTAATTCCTTTGATATCTTGACCTTTTGCTTTCCAAATGAATTTTTTAATTATTTTTTTCTAGCTCAATAAAATAATTTTTGGCAGTTTAATTGGGATGGTACTGAATAAATAAAGTAATTTAGGTAGAGTTGTCATTTTTATTATATTGGCATAGCCTACTCAGGAACAATTGAAATTTCTCCAATCATTTAAATTTGACTTCATGTGTATAAAAAAGTGTTTTATGATTATTTCACATGTTTTTTGGGTTTGTCTTTGCAGGCATACTCCTAGTTATTCTATATTGCTGATGGTTATTTTAAATAACATATCTCTTATTATCTCTTCTTGCAAGCTTTGTTGGTGATATATAGAAATACTGATGATTTATATGGGTTTATTTTATATCCTGCTACTTTGCTATAATTATTGTTTCAACTAATTTTTAGTTGAATCTCTAGTATTTTCCAAGTATACCATCATATTATCTTCAGAAAGAGATAGTTGTATTTCCTCATTGTGCATTCTGATTCCTTCAATATATTTTTCTTCTCCTACTGCTTTTGCTAGCATTTCTAGTACAATATTGAACCACAGTGGTGATAAAGGACATCTTCATTTTACTCTCGATCTTACTGAGAATGCTTCTAGCTTATCCTCATTACAGATAATGCTTGCTGATGGTGTTAGGTAGATGTTTCTTATCATTTTATGGAAATAAATCCGTTTATACCTATCCTTTCAAGTGTTTTTTTTAAATAAAAATGAGTGTTGTATTTTGTCAAAAGCATTTTCTGCATCTTTTAATTTAATCACATGACTTTTGTTGGTTTTTGTTATTAACATAATCAATTATGCTAATAGTTTCCCTCATATTGAATGAGCCATGCATTCCTTGTGTAAATCCCATTTGGTCACATTGAATAATCTTTGTGATATATTGCTATAGTCAACTAGCTACTATTGTATTTAGGATTTTTTGCATCAATATTCATAAGTGAAATTGGTCTATAATTTTCTTTCTCTGCTTTTACTCTTCCCAGTTTGTGTATCAGCACCATATTTATTTCAGAAAAGGAGTTTGTTAGGACTGCAATAATTGTAATAAGCAAAATAATTGACATTTATATCACACTTCAACATTTGCAAAGTGCTATGCATAAATCATTTGATATAACAGTCACTTAAGATAGGTGCTATAGGAATTGTTACTTCCATTTTACAGAAAAGAGAACTAAATCTCAGAGAAGTTAAATACCTGGTTCATAGAGTAGACAGCCAGCATGTGGCAGAGGTGAGATTCACACCTAGAACTTCCTAACTGCAAGCCCAGTGCTCCTTTCACTACACCAGGAAAGTGAGAACCCTTCCAAAAGTGGGCAACAATGATGGTGAGGGAATTGACTGAAGAAACTGGAAAAAAGACTTTTGAGGCTAGTGATATCGACTACAAGTCTTTGAAGGGTTTTCATGTTAATGTCGGATTCATCTTACTATATTTGGTGCCAGTGGCCTGAAATAGGGAGAATGGATGGCAATTCAAAATGGTAGGTTTAGGCTCAGGGAAAGG